TACACACACGAATGCACACATATAAAACAAATTACAAAAAAAATGCACATGTGGTTCCCAAAACTTTTCCCTCTTTCAACTGGAGTCTTCGGTGCTGCAACAATGGTGGTGGTAGTTGATGCAGGTGATAGCAACTGCCGACGGTAGTGATGGTGACCAGAGAGGAAAAGAGATTTTTGAAAACAAAAATGCAATTAATCACAAACTCTTATGGAAATCGACATTAAAGTAGAAAGAAAGGAAGAGATGAGGAAGGAAACACGAACCCGGGAGAAGGAAATCGACAGCAGCAAAAGTGCCGGTGGCCAGAGAGGGGAAGTTTTCGGTGGCCGGCGGTATCTCTTCTACTATATGTTGTTAAATGAGGGAGAATTGTTGGAGGAAAGGAGAATCGTCGGAGAAAATGTTGGAACAAAATGAGAGCAGATTGAAGCAGAAAGAGGAAGCAAGTGGGAGTAATCTGCGTCGACCTTTAGCGGCGACACCCAATAGCGGCGACAAAAGAATCAATACTGGCGACATCCAACCTTTAGCGGCGACATACAAAGAGGGAAAAAAGGCGCATTTTTTTCGACCTTTAGCGGCGAGTTTCTCAGCCATTAGATTAGAAAAATGATCAAACGGTTGGTGTTCACCAGAATGAGAAAACGCGGATTCGGGTAGGTAGGCATTACCGGCGACACCAATAGCGGCGACAACCCCATTAGCTTCTATCTTTTTTTCACTTGATTTTCTGTCGTCGCTATTAGTGTCGCCGCTATTAGTGTTGCCGGTAATGGCTGCATTTCTTGTAGTGAAATCAGCTTCTATCTTTTTTTCACTTGATTTTCTGCGTATGCTAATTGATGAACAATGCAACTCTATTCATGTGGCGTCTCTGATTTTTATGTGTGTGTAAATGGAAGAATAAATAGAAACTAATTAGATAATCATATGAATCAGTAATAGTTATCTTTCAGAATTTTTTTTATCAATATCTATAAATTTAAAATTTAAACTTTTATTCATGACTGGTTAATCTTTTGAGTGTACCTTATCTATTTTCTTTGTAGAGTGCATAAATTTCGTAACAATTATCTTTGAGATGAGTTTCAAAATCCTATTGAGGTTTACATGTTGATAATTTTAATAACTTAATCTATGAATGCGGAAGCTTTTTAAGGCCAGGCCTTCAAACTCGAATCTGAATAAAAGAATAATAAGAGAAGGAGATTGTGTACCTGCTTCCATTGAAGCTTTTGGATCTGAAGAACAAGCTTGGTTTTCCAGTTGATCTCAAGACAACTCCAAGACCCCTTAGGAATAAAAAAACGAATTTGTGAATTAATTTCGTCCTCTTGGATTTGCTCCTCATCACATATATTTATAGATGGAGATAAATCCTAATGTGAGAGATGGAAGGGATCTTGAGGATCTTGAGTCAAACCGGGAACTCAAGCCACAAATGGTAAGTGAATATCGGTCCATCAACAATCTTATACACTTGCCATAATAAATTGGATTTAAATGATAACAATATATATGTTCGTTTATAGAATGGTCCATGATTTTCTAACAATCTCCCACTGGACCATGAATTTATAAATGTACATATAACCATATTAGCGCTTTAATGTTTGTTATCATGATATTGGTACCCTTAAACAGTCTTGTCCATTAATCATAATTGTATAGGATCAATGCGGTCTTTGTTACAATTTACGTAACTAAACCATCAATGGTCACATATATAAGTATAACTAACGACATAGATTAAACATAATGCGTGGTCACAAAATCAAAATTGATTTCTGACGAGTTCCTCTTTAACTTGAAATGAGATCAAACTTCAAATAAGTGCAACTAATAATGGAATTAACCGAATTCTTAAGTCTGTACAGAAAAACATAATTGTTCTTAAACCAAAATAAAGCACCCAAAAATAAATTGTAAAACTCCCACTAAAACAAAATATCATCAATATTTATCACACCCATGTGTGTAGTATGCTCATGAAAGACCTTGGGAGGTAATCCCTTCGTGAGCGGATCCGCTATCATGGAGTTTGTCCCGATGTGCTCTATTGTGATTTTTCCATTTTGCACTCTTTCTTTAACAATCAAAAACTTAATGTCAATGTGCCTTGACTTTGTAGAACTTCTGTTGTTGTTGGAATACAACACTGCCGACTTATTGTCACAATACAACTTTAGTGGTCTTTCAACACCAATAATACGCAGCCCCGTGACTAAGTTCCGCAGCCATATTGCATGATCCGATGCCTCGAAACATGCTACAAATTCTGCCGCCATGGTGGAAGAAGTTACTAAAGTTTGTTTAGCACTCTTCCATGAAATAGCTCCTCCTGCTAATAGGTAAATGTAGCATGATGTGGATCGATAACTGTCTTGGCATCCAGCAAAATCAGAATCAGAATACCCAATGATCTCCAAAACATCTGATTTCCTATATGTGAGCATGTAGTCTTTTGTTCTCTGTAGATATCTCAAAACCCGTTTGGCTGCTTTCCAATGGTCAATACCTGGGTTGCTTAGATATCTTCCCAACATCCCTACAATGAAAGATATGTCGGGACGTGTACACACTTGAGCATACATAAGACTCCCAACAACCGATGCATAAGGAATCTTCTGCATCTCTTTAAATTCAAGGTCATTTTTAGGGCATTGATCGAGACTGAATTTGTCTCCTTTCGAAATAGGGGTGTCTCCTGGTTTGCAGTTTTGCATGCCAAATCTTTCAAGGATCTTTTCAATATAGTTCTTTTGTGATAATCCTAGAATTCCACGAGATCTGTCTCGTTGAATTTGGATTCCTAATACAAATGAGGCGTCCCCAAGATCTTTCATCTCAAAATGCTTTGAAAGAAATTTCTTGGTCTCATATAAGACCCCTAAATCATTGGTGGCAAGTAATATATCATCAACATACAAGACTAGAAAGATGTATTTACTCCCACTGAACTTGTGATATACACAATCATCTACTATATTTGCCTCAAAACCAAATGAGACAACGATTTGATGAAACTTGTGGTACCACTGACGGGAGGCTTGCTTGAGTCCATAGATAGATTTATTTAGTTTGCAAACCATTTCCTTTGAGTCTTTCGATACGAAGTTTTCTGGTTGCACCATATATATAGTTTCATCAATGTCACCATTGAGAAATGCTGTCTTAACATCCATCTGATGTAACTCAAGATTGTAATGTGCGACTAGTGCCATGATCAACCTAAAAGAATCTTTTGATGAAACCGGAGAGAATGTCTCTTTAAAATCAATTCCTTCCTTTTAAGTATAGCCCTTAGCTACAAGACGTGCCTTATGTCTTTCCACATTACCTTTTGAATCCCTTTTGGTCTTAAAAATCCATTTGCAACCAATAGGCTTTGTACCTTCAGGTAATGGAACAAGTTCCCAAACTTTATTGTCTTGCATGGACTTACATCAATCCACTTTTGAGAATTTGAACTTTGCATGGCCTGAGAGAAGTTGATTGGATCATTTTCAATCATTCCATCTGGTTCTTCAATTTCTTGGAGATATACATGGAAATCCGAAGGGATTGCACTTCTCCTTTCTCTAGTGGATCTCCTAAGTTGAGGTTGTTGATGTTGTTCATTATGAACAGGAGAGTGAATAACATTGTCTTGTTGAGGTTCCTGAATTACTTCTTCTCCGACAGGCACATTAATTTGTGTATCGTCAAAAGTAACAGTAGGAATCGAGATTGATTCCTCCTCAAAGACAATGTCTCTAACCTTATTTCTCCCCCCAAACTCAACATCCTCAAAAAACATTGCAGTTCCTGTTTCAAAAATTGATTTTGTTGCAGGATCATAAAACTTATAACCCCTGGATCGTTCAGAATAGCCAATGAAGTAGCTGCTAACGGTTTTGGAGTCCAATTTCTTTTCATTTGACCTATAAGGCCTTGCCTCAGCTGGACATCCCCAAATACGAAGATGAGTTAAACAAGGCTTTTTCCCTGTCCAAAGCTCATAAGGTGTTTTAACAGCTGCTTTAGTTGGTACTCTATTAAGAATGTAAGCTGCAGTCTTAAGTGCTTCACCCCAGATTGACTCTGGTAAAGTAGAATGACTTATCATACTCCTTACCATATCCTTAAGAGTTCTGTTGCGTCTTTCAGATACACCATTCATGCTAGGCGAACCTGGCATTGTGTATTGTGGGACGATTCCACATTCCTCTAGGAATTTAGCAAAAGGTCCTCGACGTTGTTCACCCGATCCGTCATATCTACCATAGTACTCACCACCACGGTCAGATCTAACACATTTAATCTTTTTATTAAGTTGGTTCTCAACTTCAAGTTTAAAAGATTTGAACACTTCCAGTGACTGAGATTTTTCATGAATAAGATATAGATACCCATAACATGAGTAATCGTCTATGAATGATATAAAATATTGTTGACCATTCCAAGAAGCCGAAGGGAATGGTCCACAAATATCTGTATGTATCAATTCTAAGACATCTAAAGACCTGGTGGCATCTAATCTTTTGGTTTTTGTCTGTTTTCCTTTGATGCATTCAACACAAATTTTCAAATCTGTGAAGTTGAGGTTACTTAACACTCCATCTGACACAAGCCTATCAATTCTCATTAAGCGTGTGTGCCATAGTGTTGCTGAATTTTCATTATTTAATTTTCGCTTAGTACCACGTGAATCCACGTGCAAGGTTTCATTATATGAAGTAACAATATCAAGCATATATAACTTATCACAATACGTTAGAGAACCAGTACCGATAACATTTGAATTTAAAGACAAACTAAATTCACCATTTCCAAAAGAACAATAATAACCAGATTTATCCAATTTAGAAACAGAAACCAAATTGCATCTAAAAGACGGTACAATGCAAGTGTCTTGAAAATCCAAATAAAAACCAGTATCTAGTAATAAACGAAATGTGCCAACTGCTTTGACTTCAACCTGCTTGCCATCACCCACATAGATGTATCTTTCAGCATCATTTGGTTTTCGGTAGTTCAGGCAACCCTGCATAGAAATACTTACGTGAGTAGTAGCACCAGAGTCTATCCACCAAGTATTTCTAGGTACAGAAACTAAATTAATTTCAGAACAGACCAAAGCATGAATTGTACCTTTCTTAACTCGCCAAGCGTGATATTTTGGACAATCCGACTTCAAATGACCAGGTTCTTGACAAAAGAAGCATTTAGGAGGTCCCGATTCCTTTTTCTTTTGATCATTACCTAAATGTTGTTTCTTTTGCACTGGTCCCTTAGTAGCAGCTTCTTTTCTCTTTCTTTTGCCCTTACCTTTAGAGGTACTAGCAAAATGAGCACTCTCAGTTGTTTCCTGCTTCATCCTTTCTTCTTCTTGCACACAAAAGGAAATGAGCTCATTAAGAGTCCATTTGTCCCTTTGGCAGTTGTAACTGACCTTAAACTGGTTAAATTGTGCAGGAAGAGAAAGCAACACCAAATGAACTAGAAATCATCAGAATTTTCTAGTTTCAATGCCTTAAGTTTTGAAGCAAGATGAGACATTTCCATGATGTGCTCCCTTATGTTTCCTTTGCCTTTATACTTCATTGAAATCATCTTTTGCAAAAAAGTACTTGTTTCAGCCTTATCATTTTTTGCAAAACGTTGTTCAATTTCAGCAAGAAAATCTTTAGCGTTAATAGACTGTTAATTTGCACCTCTAAAAGCTTTTGGAACGCCGCGCTTAATGATCATTAGACTCATGCGATTTGAGCGATCCCATTTTTCAGCATCCCTTTTGTTCTCCACTGAACTTATGGCAGTAAGGATGGGTTGTCCAATCCGAAGTGCAAGGTCAAGATCCATGCAGCCGAGAACTAACATAATGTTCTCTTTCCATTCCTTAAAGTTAGTCCCATTAAGGACTGGAATGTGATTCAAGTTGGAAGATATTATGCCACAATTAGCATTTGCTGTATTTCAGAACAAAATATTAATTAGTTTTCATGCTTATTAAACCATAATTATAATCAATAAAATTCAAATTATGACATCACAAGATATCAACACAACATTAATATCAAGTCTTTGGACAACAATATTAACTTGTAAGAGATATCTTGTTTAAGTAGTAAAAAAATATTGACAATAAAATATGTTAATCAATAAGCCCCTCTTTGGATTGACTGATTAATCACATGAAACCCAAAAATTATCATATATTTACCACTATATATATATATATATATATATATATATATATATATATATATATCCGACCAAATATTAACCTACCTTTGGGTCGATTAATATCCGCATTGACAAACACATAAACCATAAAAAAATTTAATAATAATATATGACAATAAATCATCCCATCTAACAAGCCCCTCTTTGGATTGACTTATTAACGACATGTAACCAAAAAATAATTGTCGCATATTCATTATCATATTCGTGTTTATTCGGCAAAATATCAATCTACCTTTGGGTCGATTGGTATCCACAATAATAAACACATAAACCGTAATATTTAGATTCTTAGAAAATTAATTTTCACAAAAAAACATCACTTTGCATCAATAAATTTGCCAAGAAAATAAATAATGTCATAACTGAATTTATTAACAACCAAAATAATTTCATAAAAAAACTGGTAATAAATTCAAATATCATTAACAGTGCTTATCGAATAAAAATGTAGCTCTTTAATTAAATTGCATGCACACTAACGTAATTAAATTGTAGACATGCTGACAACAGTAAACATTATCACATAAAAAACTGCTTTCTTAAATCATATACACGGCAAAGTCAAATAATAATAAAAGCTAAGAGAATATATGTGTATTATATGTACAGCTCAAAACGAGAGATAATAATAATAAAAGCTAAGAGAATATATGTGTATTATATGTACAGCTCAAAACGAGAGATAATATAAACACAAGGGCTAAAGGCATTTATTTATTTTAACAAAGTGCATGTATATGTGGTCTCCAAAACAACTTACGACTTCAAGACAAATTACAATCCACAAATATTTGCATGTTAATTTTAAGTTGTATCGGCACAAATAATACTTATTAATTTTATCTAATATGTACATAAGCAAAAATATCAATAGCCATTCACAAAAGACAAATATATATATATATATATATATATATATATATATATATATATATATATATATATATAATACATAGCGTTCGCATGACAAACTTTAATAGTCACTATCAAACTTATTAGTCAAACATTTGTTTGGACAACTGTAAAGTAATGTCAGTAACAAAAGGTAAAAGCAAATAGTACATGAATTTAACAACTCAAACAAAGATATTGTGTCTTTAATACGGATAATCGTAAAATATTTGAAGTTTTACTTTTCTTTTGGAGCAAGAAGCAATCTCCAATAGCAAAAATACAAATATATATTACATCCTTCGTTATTCATCGACAGTCAAAGAAAAATCAAGCATCTGATGAAATAAATAGTTCTCGACGTAACGAAGAACAGGTATGTTTCAAATATAATGTTAGAGATCTTAAACCAACAGAAAATTTCTATTATCAAATTCGAGAAGGCTCTGATACCAATTGTTGATAATTTTAATAACTTAATCTATGAATGCGGAAGCTTTTTAAGGCCAGACCTTCAAACTCGAATCTGAATAAAAGAATAATAAGAGAAGGAGATTGTGTACCTGCTTCCATTGAAGCTTTTGGATCTGAAGAACAAGCTTGGTTTTCCAGTTGATCTCAAGACAACTCCAAGACCCCTTAGCAATAAAAAAAACGAATTTGTGAATTAATTTCGTCCTCTTGGATTGCTCCTCATCACATATATTTATAGATTATATATTTATAGATGGAGATAAACCCTAATATGAGAGATGGAAGGGATCTTGAGGATCTTGAGTCAAACCGAGAACTTAAGCCACAAATGATAAGTGAATATCGGTCCATCAACAATCTTATACACTTGCCATAATAAATTGGATTTAAATGATAACAATATATATGTTCATTTATAGAATGGTCCATTATTTTCTAACATTACAAACATGTAAATTCAAATGAGACTTTTGTTTCAATTTAGCACAACATATATACATTATTACGAAGGAACAAATATGAGAAACCAAGTTAAAGGAAATGAGCTTTTGGGCTTCAGGTTATTTTTTCCATTTTCTTAAATTTTTTTTGTTAATGTATATAAAGAAGTATCATCCTTATTTGTAGAAAATAATAATGTTCGTTTTTTGCATTTAGGAAATAAATTAAGGTTAGATCAGATAAAAGAGACTTGGACAACAAAAGATACTTCCCCAGGTCTGAGCTACACACGTGACTACAGACTTGAACTGGTGCTTTGCTCTTCTTTGTATCAATAAACTTGTTGGTTCTCCTTTTACACTTGAACTGGAGCTGTTCAAAGCTTCATCATTCTCATACTCTTGATAGGTAAGCATGCAATTTTCAACCTCCTCGGATAGTCTCTTAATCAAGGGTGTCCATGGTTCAATCCATGATCTTCAATTCTAGCATTCATATTGTTTTTCCAAGGCATTAGATACCAAATATGTCTCATGGTTGCTCCAGGATTACTTGCAAATTTTGATTTGAGCTAGTGAAACAATGGCTATGATGAACCAACATTTTTCTTGGTGGCTTTTTTGTAATCTGTATTGTTTTTTGATTCCCAAGTGATGTTTGGAAATTGATCCAGGAGTACTAAATGTAACACTATTAATTTTGGCGTAGATTTTAAAATTCATTTGTGCTTTGGCTACTATGTACATTATGTGTATGGAGTGCTATCTATGTATTCATAGATCGAAAATAAAAATGTTAGACTACTCTTGCTGGTGTATGTTTTTCTTTCCTTGTGTTCGGTTTTTTTGATTTCTAAGTTTTTTTCAATTATGCGTGAATTCAGTTTTTGGTTGTTTCTTAATTTGATCTTCACTTCTGGTATTTGTATGGGTCTGTTTATACATTGAGACATTTGATGCAATTGTGATTAGACCCGTTGTTTAGGGTGTTTTCGTGATTTAGATAGGTTGCTTTCTTTTTTTGGATCCTGAATGTTGTGTTGCTGAGATGAGTTCATCCCTTTGACAATTTTGCCCCTGGTTTTGTCTTGCATTTGTGTGGTGGTTTCTTGATCTGGTTCTCCCGTGTTCTTTGGAGTTGCTGGCATATTTTCTTGATCTTCTCTGGTTCTATTTTCTCCTCCTAGTTGCTGATTGCTTTCTTGATGTCGGTGGGTTTTATTTGTTTCTTGACCATTTTGCCCCGGCTTGCCATTTTTTGGTGTGGTGCTTGTTAACTGAGGTTTTCTCCCTCTATTCATCTGTTTGCTTTTGTTCTGGTCTGCTATGCTCTCTATGTTGATGGTGGGATAGATCTTTGCTATTTGGACCTTTTTACCCTCGTGGGGTGTTTTTCTTATTGTTTTTAGTTCTCTGTATGTTTTGCTTTTGTTTGTTTGATTCTTCTTGTTGCTCATTATTTTACTTTAATATTCCAGCTTCCTTCTTGTGGGTTGTTTAAGAAAGTCATAGTTGAAAAAAAGAAGTCATTAATCCACATTTATATTTGCTAAAAGAAGTCAAAACACTCGGTTGTTGAAAATGGTTCATATAACTTCCTACTAAGCGTGTTCTCTAGTAATACTAATAGAAAGTGGTTGTTTTCTGGAGGCCGGTTCGTATACCGTTACAACTAAATGTCTCGGTTGTTATCCTTGGAACCGGGTTATTTCAGTATAACATATACCCCGGTTTTTTTTGAATTAAACCGGGTTATATAGCTTTTACCTTAATAAAGCCCGATTTTCCCAAAAACTGGGTCCTATTTACCGAGTCCTATAATGCGTTTTGTAGTAGTGATGGTTAGTATTTCGTAAATAACTTATATTATATGTTTATTATCTATGATTCATGTACTCGAAGGATCTTATATTGCAACCCGTTATGATTCACCTCCTATGTTGCAATTATAAACGAAAATATGAAATATACCATCGCTTTTAAAATGATGCAAAAAGGCAGATGAAATCAGTGGCTTTTTGTGAGGTTGCTTTGAAAATTGAAAATTTTCACTAACGGGTAATATGGTTATAGCAATGCGCATAATGTATTATGTAGTTAAAATTCACTTAAGTCATAATGTTCAAAATAAAAAGGAAAACGACATTATGTATCTTTATCCATTATGTTATGTACACTACTAGAAAAGCTGTCATTCATGACACGCAATGTGTTCCATGAAAAGGTCAGACGACACGCTAATACGTGTCACTGAACCTGTCATAAAGGAAGACAACACGTATTTGAGTGTCATAAGCTTTCGACACATATTTATTACACGCGTTGCGTATCATTAAAGCGTCTGGCATAAAGAAAGACGATACACATTTTTGCCTGTCATAACTTTAAATGTTTTAAATAACACATTTAAAGTCTCATAATAAAAAATAAAATATCATACACAAATAAAGATAATTGATGCACTTGGGGACATAAAATGACTTATGTAGTAAAAAGAACAAATTATGTTTATTTTTTCAAGTCAAATCAATTAAGTATGCTTCTATTTCTTGCATTTTAACTAAAAGACCTAAATACATGAAATAGCCAATTACTTCAACTTATTTGTGGTAAAAGAAACTTAAATGCAAGAAATAGAAAAGTACATTGCCATTTCCTGTTTTTTATATTGAAACCAATTAAGTGACAGGTGGTAGGGTAAGAATACTTACAGAACTTGCAAACTGTAATTATTGAGTCAACTATCCTTAGACAATCATCTCACTAGGATCCAGATCCCAATACTTGCCTCCAAAGTTAGAAATATCATGCAAGATACTACACTTA